TATTATATAAATAATATTTATATATATCTATATTATATACATTTAAAAATATTTATCTAATAATAATCAACTCAATATACAGTATGTTATGTTATTTTATGTTGGTTGACAATATATTTGACCTCCTTTTTTAAAATCGGTTAAAAATAATTACCAGCAGAATGGCTGTTGAACTGAAAAATCATGTTTCATTGCTATTTTTCTTGTTCCCAATAAATAAACGAGATTCCTAAAACGGCAGTCAGTCCAAAGGATCTGTCACCTCTGCTTTACTTAACACCAGGTTAATTGGCCATAAATTAAGCCATAACTTACAATCCTGCCCGCTGAATTAAGTCTGCCATTTTGCACGAAGTTCATTTAAAAAACAACACTGTAGCCTAATTACATTCTGATTTCATGTTTTGTTCGTTTTTATATCGGTTTTCACAGTTCTCTTGAAATCACGAATGGCTATTCTTGGTATTTGTGAACTTTTAAGGTACGACGAACCATTTACGTTGGCGTTGTAATTACTACATCGTGTGCCATAACATGCTATTATTGAAATAAATTGATAAAATTATAGAAAATTGAAATGCAATTAAAAATAACGAATTTTATTCGAAGCTAGGCTATGTAAGTTTTCCCCTGTTAATTAAATAGAAAACAAAGTGTGTTTGAGTTCTTACTATGTATTACGTTTTCATGGCTATATTGATATTGATAAAATTCCAACGAAAAATAACATTAATGAAGAGAAACTCTATTTGTCTTTAAATGATGAAAAATGTAGAGAATAGATTGTACCTAAAATTTAACAGTCATAAAAATTATATTATAATAGGATAATCAACAAAGGAAGTAATTTAAAATATGACTATTTCTTAACACTTGACTCATGAAACACCATACGAGTAAAAGTGAACATTTAAATGTTTCTAATATCTACGATAAATCATTACCGTTACCCTACTTTTAAATTGGTATATTAATAAATACTTGATAAATTTCACTGAAAAATCACGTTATAAATCCACTAAACGAGCCTCAAAGCGGTTTTTATACAAATGGGTTTTAGCATCAAATCCCATAGCAATGCAAACCAGACATGCATGCAAAAAGCTACCATTAAAAAGCAGCATATTATCACACCGCTGATAAATAAAATGTTTTTTTCTATATTTAAGGTTAAATAAATATTATTCCAACGAACACTTAACTAAATATTATAACTTACTCTATTTAACGTATATTGATTTTGCTCACGTTTAAAGGTTATTTAATTTATTTTATTAAACTTACTCCCAAACCACGGATTTTATTATTTAGAAAAAAAAAGTATTTTAAATAAAACTATCTTTTCGGATTTTTTCGCGGATTTATTTTGATTTTTGGTTCCCGACGTTTCGAATGCTTTACAGCAAACAAGGTCACAAGAGAGACTGAGGTGTTAGATGTCTCAAATGTATTATATAGTTGTTACAGCCAGCCTACCCACAAATAACAAAAAAATTCAAAAAATTGAAAAATGGCACCAAAGTACCAAAAATTCAAATAAATCCACGAAAAAATCCAGCCAGCGGCTCCGCCCGCGTTCAGATGACCAAAAACCAAATCCTTAGGTTTTACATATTAGTATATATACTCTTACATTGCAGTTTTTGTATTTTTTCTCAGAAATGAGACATTTTCCCGCGGTAAAAAGTATCCTATATTATGTTGACTCGGATAACCAGCTATAACCATTCCAGATTTCATCAAAATTCTTCCAGTGGTTTTCTGTGATGCGGTAACAGACAGACAGACAGACAAAAATTCTAAAAACTATAAATTTGGCCTCTGTATCGATAATAATGTCTATTTCAAGAAGATTTTCCAAAAAATATGTAATGTACAGATTCAGCTTAGTTACAATTTTAGTATATATCTATCTATATATCTATCTATGTACCTATAGATGTCAAATATTCGCGTAAATCTAAAAAAGTATTATTAAATAAAAGGATGTTAATATTACTATGTCAGTATCATTCGTGAGCCAAATAATGAATAGATAAATGTTTCTCGGTTCAAATCATATTTTTTTAACGAATACTCTAAGTTTTGTTTGTAATTATATCAATTAAGATAAAGTGTACTTATTATTCCGAAATAATGTATATAAATTCAAAATCTCTTGATACAAAGGTATTGTCTAAAGTACAGAAGCAATTCTTGGAACAAAACAGCGAATATATTACACTTAATTCAATGGCCGGATTAGCTTTTCTTAGAGGCAATGTGTCTTGGTGTTATCTACGGGCGCACCTGTCGCTCGGAACTTTGTTGGTACTCTTTAATTAGCTGTGATGACTTGCGACAGTTTATTAATTATATCACGACTGGTGTTATGAACTGTGTGTTAAGTGTGAAAAATAGATTTACGAAACTTGCTTATTTATTGCTATGTTTGCTTCAATTGCTTCGGCTTTGGGAATTTTGTTAATTAATCCCATTCTTTTGAATTTTGTTATTAATCTATTTCAGTCACCTACTCTGAATTATATTTTTAATGTTTATAAGAAGTGCACGGTATTGGTACAAAGTAATTCGTAATGAAGACAGCTTATAACCTGGGTTAACACAGGTCGTGTATCGATGTACCTACCACCCAGGTGGAGTCGTGAACAAAAACTAGTATATAAATATTATTAAGATTATTTTAAAATATTTTTTTGGTAAAAAATATTTTTATTTTTTGAAATGATCCAGCGCTTCCAAATCACCTGCATATTTTTTAATGATGTAAACACACTTCTATGATATAATTACATATACGGGTACGTATAATTTTAACTTTAAACCTTGAAATTTTACATCTGTGAGCTTAAATTGAAACTTATTTGGGTCGCAGTTAATTACCACTGCTTTTCATAGTTCGAGCTTTTTACTGCGAGTAAATTTATAACGTCATAATAACGCAACTACCAATACCCTCTCTCACTATTTTACTTAGGCAATTTAGAAGGATTACCTACATATTATTTTACAGTCTGAGAATAGATTATGTGCTGTAAAGCGATCAGGCCGCCAGTATCATAACTAATGTTACCACATTGCGTGTCCATACGTCAATTTTAATTACGATATTAAAACGATCACTCTAGCATAAAAATGCTTCATTATGGACTTCTCGAAAGTTTATTGACACATCACCGTGAGTCAGCTTCGAACACGGATCACTTTAAAACGTAATGAAGTTGATTATTTTCTTCCAAGTCATCAACAAAACTCATCAATCAGTTCATTAATAACGTGAAAGATTATATAATCATATTTATCTAAACTTGTGAACTTTGGACAGAATATGAAAAATAAATCAATTTTATAAACATTTATCATCTGGGTGGGCTTCTTAAAAAGAAAAAAGAAATAAGACAAATTTTTGCCATTTGTATATGAGTTTTAGATGCTTATACTTTGGATTGAGAAGTCAATACTTGGTTTAACAAAGTATTTTTTCTATAAACGGTTTAGTGTATTTTAATTAAATTTCAATATAATTTAACTGTGTTGAGAAAAGCGAGTGAATTACATATTTAAGTATATGGCTCCCATCTTCATTTTATTCTTATATTGCCACTTTTGGTTTGGTTATATTAACATAATCATCAAGTGGCATTAAATCAATAATCATAAAAAATAATAAACAAAAGTACCTACTAATCAAAATATCATTTATTAGAAAAAAATACTGCAATTCTTTCGATGCTTATGATTTATCTAAAAAAATCATTTTATTTACAAAGTCCATAACGAGGTATAATTCTTGTGTAAGCAAATGACAGACAGAATCTAAGCATATTTTCTCATAATATACAGCAAAATGTGTTTCTAGATCGTTACATTCCATTTAATACTTTTGTCAGGATGATTTACGGAATCCCCATGAATCATAGGCGACAGATGTTAACAATACAACTTTCTTCGTCATATAGAGCTGGAGGCGTCTAGATTACGGCGCTCGAGGGTCTAAATATCAAAATCTGTAATATTCATAAATGTATGCATATATTATGAATATATATAAACATATTTTAATTAATATTTGTTATGCTTTAATAAGAAAATAAATTAGTTTTAAGGTATTATTAGGTACATGAATTCACAATAATGAAATGCGATTTGGAAAAATATATCTAATAAAAAATAAGATTTGTCTTAATTATATTTAAAACTTATTTTTAAATTTATTATTAAAATATATTTTTTGCGTTTTCAGTTTCAGATTCAGGTTTTTCAATTTTCAATTTTCATCCATTAAAAATCTAGTACATTAGTCCTTAGCCTTTGTATTTTTTTATTAAGTATCTACTTGCATTATACTAGTGTAGATGAATATTGTCGGCTATATTTTCATTGTATGTTTAATCTAAAAAACATAAATTCTCTATATCAACTGGATTGGGAATATAGCAATAATAAATAATATTATTGAGTTAAATTAAGCATAATATTGGTTTCTATAAATATAGACAAAAAAGATAGACAAAAATTCTCCGCATAAAATAAAATGATCTTTGCTAGGTTACGTAGGATTTGATGTTTGAATATAGATTATTTGATATGTTTATTTAACTATCGATATGATTGTTTGGCTTAGTATAGCTAAACTAGATACTCAGCTTTGTGATTTAACTGGCAACATACTCCTGCTTCGCTCGGGTGCGTGGTCTTTTGTATTTATAATATTACTAGCAGAACCCGCGGCTTCGCTTTCATTCACTTAAATAGAACAACAGTATTCAATGACATATAGTTAAAAAAATATGACCTTATAAAATGTGCATGCATATCCACAATATAAAGCTAGATCAGAATAAAATTGCTTTAAAATTATCTATGTTCATTTTATAATCTCCCACACAATCGCATTTGATCAGCAACGCAACGACACATTGCGCTTGACGTTTCAAACTCAAAACAATAATATGATGCCTTTTATTTTTTGTGATAAATTATTCATATTTATAATCCGAATGATGGGAGCGATCGTAGTGCCGCGTTCCGTCGACTCATCCGACAGGTCTAATTTAATGCGCGCATTTATTATTGGTAATGGAATTAACTGCGCCCGATTATCATATGATTTGATGGACGCGCTATCTTCCGATCGCTTCTACGTGCCGCCCACTGCACTTAAAAAAACCGACTCGGCCTCCACGGCGTGGTCATTACGACTAATTATTGTTATCTTTATGGTAGCAATCGGCCTGCCTTGTTCATTTAGTGCCATCTTTCGATAAGACGCTACTTTAGAACGCAACACCTTTGTCATTTTCTGTCCCCGAAAACTTACGGACATCTTTTTGCTGCTTTTGTTTTTTTATTTGATAGATATAATAACAGAGCGGCACCCGGTGAGCGGCTCGGTTTGATTACGCTTCTTGGGTTGCCTTCATTATTTGCGATGATACGGATTTTCTTTTCCTTTTTTTATCTCGAACTTGTTTAATATCCTGTCGGCGCAATAGTTCCAGGTTTTGATAAAAAAATTACATTTGGTGGCTTCTATGACAAGCCATTTTTGTTCCGAGAAAGTAAATTACTGAGCAATGTTGATTCTTACTTTGTTGTTTTGTACCGAGAAGCTATATTTCATTTTAAATGTACAGCGTTTCGAATGTAGTCACACAAAATACGTTTCTGCAATTCTGCCGTTCAAATTAGTTACTCGTGCTTGTGTAGTCACGTTCTGTTTTTTAACCTTAAGGTAAGCTTAAAGCAACAAACTTTAACACATACAATCAGTCAAATGACTTGCCAAATAGAGTAATTTATACTCTGAGACTCCTTACGTTCTTAATAGATTTTTTGTGTAATTTTTATATTACTGCATATATTTATCTTTTAAAAATATTTTTCGTATCCACTATTATGACGTTCTATTTATGTATATAATGGATATTCTTGAGGTTTGTGGTCCCCTATTATACGTGACAATTTTATTATCATCAGATATTATGAGCTAAATGCAGTCCATAGTACGACGTCGACACAAGCACAAGGCAACCATAAGTGTTAAGGAATGTTTGTATGCTGTAAGAAATTCGTGTGCACTCTTACAGGCCTTTCTTTGAGGTGTATCTACTTTGCCTAATGTTTATGATACTCTTGTACTCGTGAAAATTTATATAACCTAATTTATGAGGCAAGGGCAGATAGCGAATAGAACTTATTTTTACTGGGTCCCACGACACCTCTCGACTTTTTTATTGGTTTACAGTATAAATCTCTAAAAAAAGGGAACCAATTCTAAAAGTTAGAAACTCTATATTATTCTGAGATGAATTTCTATTACCTACGTAATATAAGCTATGTTTTATCAAATTTCTATATTATGACCAATATCTGGTAACTGACGATAATATGTAATAGGCACCTTTATGTATTTTTAAGATACTTTATGTTATTTCACGAATTCGTATTCTCTTTTTAATTATCGTGTTAATTAATGTTATTTAAATAATGTAACTGAAAAAACATAGGTACATATAAGAACCAAAAAATTAAATTCTTCTCAATAAAAGGTACGTATTATTTTCAAAATCATAAATTCGACTTTGACTCAGGATAATAAAAATCTTATAGCTATTTGTTACGGTTTTTGAGTGTCCATGTCTGCATATTTCAGAAAAAGTAAAAGATAACAATTTTATTGAAATAGTAATATATAAATACACATTTAAAAACATTTCCGACTAAATTATGTTGTAAAGAAAAAAATATTTTTCCAAAGAATCTCTAAGTGTGAAGAGATTAATCGGCGATCCCGAGGAACACATGGTGTTATTTCGGAAAGAATGTCAGGAACGTGCTTCTACGCTGACCCCCTGCGTGTAACAAATACGCGCTACGGGGGACGGATGTCGCACATTCGTTACAATCCATCATTTGAATTTCGTATCGTATACTCACTCAATAGTGTACTCATTTGCTAATTATCTTCTAATTTTTATTCCAAAAATTAAGTTCTTGAGTTAAAATGATATTTTACTCGTATTGTAAAAACGCGATATGTCATCATTTTTCAGTTGTTTAGAAGTAGGTAATCTCTGAAATAATCTCAATTAATATTTTGACAATGGCAAAAGTTTGTATGTTAAAAATCGTCAGATTGCCATAATTTAAAGTCAAATACAATATCAAGACAATAATCGACCTTATAATCCACGAAACTAAAGAATGTAATTGAATTAATCGACCTTACCTTTGCTTTGTATGGAATTTTATCCCGCAATCTTCATTACAAAGAACTCAATATTTGAACAGATTTAGGCAAGTTAATAGGTAATTTAAATGATGAACATTTTTATTTATTTTGTTTATGCTAGCTGTTAACAAGTATAAGTTAAATACTCTATATATTTAAAATGAACGCGAAAATGAGATCATGAATCCCTCAATGAATTGAATAACTGTAGGTATCCTGTATAAAATTTTATCACTACCTATTATTAAAAATAACGTTTTTAGTTTAGTTAATGTAACTAATGCGATTATTATATACAAATATATATTGTTTATTTGCTCTGCTAATTTTTTAAATTTTCTGCCAGTTCCAGATGAAGTTGAAATCCAACGAAAATTAAAGTAACATTTTCGCAACTCAAATCTTTTTAAAAGTTCGCTTATTTAAAACACCTATACATTCGCAATAAACTTTAATTTCAGTACCGCAGTAATTCAAAATTTTATTTTAAAAGGAGGCTCGTTATTTTTGTTTTTGAAGGGATTTCGTCTATTCATATTTTTCGTTACGAGGCAGCATTGTGCAGATTTAAGGAAACGGGAAACCATTACTGCTTCATATGCACGACGTCACACAAATTTTGGTGATAGCGTACACCGTTTACGTATATTGTATATATACTCGTAGCTCTTCGGTAAGGAACGAATTTTATTGTATTCGCAGAACACTAAAAGATTAAAATCTGTCATAAAATTTCGCTATTTGAACATTTATATTACTTTCGAGGATTTTGACATATCTTAAATGTAAATTATATTATGTTAGGACGATGTAGTGTCTGGATATCATTACTTTTAAAGGGTAATAGCGGTTCGATTCCCACTTTAGGTAAACGCTTAGGTTATATTATTTTTACGGATGTATCTACACTACTAATATGTATATAAATAATGAAGAATAAAAACAGTTGTTAAGTTACACTTAACATAAATAATATATGCTTAAGTGAATAAGTAATTTTGTCACTTCATGATACTCTAAGAGCTCAACAGATTCGAATGAAATTTGGAATGAAGATAGATTATATTTTGGATGAACACATATAGACTTTCTATATTTTTTATAGATTACGCAAGTGGAGTTGCAGGCTTATACTAGTAGTATATAAATAAAGATATCATATTTTACTACCATTTTGGGACTATAAATCTGTTTGTTTTCGCTTAATTTATATACAAATAATCTCATAATATTTATATTGTTATTGCATTTTCGTACCCACTAGCAATATTTCAATACGTAAGCAACTCGTAAATCGATCGAATTACTGTTTTTTATTACATCTTTCTAATTTTTATGGCCAGCGATCTCCGTTGTCTAATGAATTTGAAGTAAGATCTTAAATAAATGCTGTCATCGCGTCAGATGTTTCATATAAATCGCTGTCTTAACGACGTCGACACTTAATAAAATCTATTTTTTTTAATAGTTTTATAGGGTTAGACTTGTAACATTTTTATTATTTATACTATTATTTTAAAACTTTTCACCGTAATACAGTCATAATAGAAACGTTACTATTTTATAAGAATGCCAAAGCATATTCGAAGATTTGTCCTTCCAAGCACTAACGGCTTGTCTTTTTACATAAAGATAGAATTATAGAGACCGGAGATTGCTGTAAGATACTTTTCGCTATGTTGTCCTATGGAAATGATGTATCGAGCTAAAGTTACTTATACCGAATATAGAGTAGTTAGAGCTTCAGTAGAAAATAGGATTCGGACTTGATGATTTTGATAGGTTATAGATAACAGCTGATATGATGAAATTTATTCCTATTTTATCCCATGTATAAGGGCTTCAATTGGAAGAGAATTAATAAATATTTTACAAGAAAAATGTAATGAGTATGAATTAACTCGTCGCAAACGTCTAACATTACAAATTTCATACTATTATAAATATGAATAACGTTACTAAATATTGTAACTTTAATAATTATTATGTAGTTTTTTACCTTAGCTAATTTACACATCGGCTGCTTTGGGGCGAACATATCAGGGCGTGCTTCCGGCGAAGTAACAATGGTGAAATAATGACTCATTACCGCTGTATAAATTGTATAACTCTTCAAAATTACACTATTTGCGCTTAAATATAATGCAGCATACACATATCACATTTTATTTAAATTGTATCTATTCGTTTTTGAACTCAACATTTTCTTTAAGAACGAAATAAATTATCTACGAGTATATCTTTCGATATCAATTGAAGTGAAAAACAATTTCTAATGCATATCGACCACAATACCCACTAAAACTCCAGGCATAATCCACCAAACCTCTATTACTGACAAAATTATTGTAGACCATCGAAAATATCGAAGCCATATAATTCTACGGACAAAATTACCCAAATCCTCTGTGAATGCATCCCAAGCCTAGCTATAACTACCTCACTTCCGTGACCAATCGTGACGGATAAGCCTAATTTATCACACCGCTTCAATTCTATAATAACTTGCAGGTTGCGTGTGACAGAATATTCTATTAGTGTGTACTATTAATCTTGGCCTCAGGTTTATTACGGCAAAGCTGAATTAATGATTATTTGTTAAGTGATACGATCTACGAACGTTTAATCCTTTTAGTTCCATATTATTTCACGAAAACCATTCGGTTTATTTGTCCTTGGCTCTTATGGAATTCTTGTTTTAAATGCCTTAGAAAGTAGAAGTTTTTATTATCATTTAGTACGTGTGGCAAACTAGTCCTGCCTATTGTATAGCAGATCACATGTTCATTGGTCGTACAAAGTAAATATTTGTATTAGTTACGCACCATTGTAAAGTTTAACAATCTTATTGAAAGTGTCAACTACACGTCGTGAGGTCCTGGATTTGCATTCCGGATTAAGTCGATTTCTACTATAGGAATATCGACTGCACCTGTGCTAACGCCCTTATGCACTGTAATATCTCCTATAACACCTGCTCGTTTCAGTGAGACCAGCTGCCGTTACTGAAAATCGCTTGGAAAAATATTA